TAATTGAATATTTATGTAAAAACTGTGTAATTATTCCTATTTCATAAGAATATAGGAATTAAAACATAGAGCATTCAGATCAGTTTCAATAAATGTCGGCTTAAAGAACGCTGGACCGTTCAACTTCCTCTAATGAATTTTGGAATAAAGGATTTCTGTGGAGTAATGCAATGAAAACAATAAATAAATTCCATGTTAAATAAAATTAAGAAAGCATTTTGTAAATATTTTAATAGAAAAAATAGGACAAAAAGGGAATGCCATCATTGTAGCGAAAATAGCTACAATAGCTACCTGGCTATCAATTTTCCATTGACTTACTTGGATAAGTTGGACTTTCATTACTATAAGCATTTAATTCAGTTTTTGGAGGAAGCAGTGTATTTCGTTCTTTTTCTCCCCCCACTCCAAAAGTAAACATCCTCTTTCGCCATCTGGTGGCCAAAGACAGCATTGTCCATGTAGATGAAAACAGTCGAACTATGATTTAACCATAAGTTATGTTTAATGCTTTCTGATTCATCTTAAATATATGCGTTTTTAACCAATGTAAATATAACTGAGGCAATTTTGTTCTAACGGTTCACAGCATTTCCTTCAAATGACTCTAGCTGTAATATTTAATGCAAGATAAAAAAAATAACCAAATCCATTCTTTTAAAAAAGAATTTTAAAAGTTAATTCATTTGGAAAATTAAAATTAAACATGGTAGTTAACAATTTGACCTGAATGTCTTTTGGTATAAAGAATTAACAAGATCTTTATGAAAGCAAATTCCAAATATATTTTTAAAATGATAAGCACAATAGATACTGTTAATTTCAAAGAACTTTCAGTTTTGACAGTTTTAACGGTAGTTATAACTGCGTGTTGGCAATTCACCAAACCAGAAAGGGTAGATAATTTAACAGCATATGGTGTTTTTTCTCCCTATAATTTTTTAAGTAAAATTTTCAATGTATTAATTAACACATTTTAGGTAGCTACTTCATTTCACAAAAAAATTAAAAATGACAATTATTTAATGTTTAATGTCTTTATTTTCTCCAGAATATTTTAATATTGAAACCCAAATTGTTACTTTGAGAAAGGGAAAAACAGAGAAACATGAAGAGACAAACATTTCATTTCATTTAACTTATGGTATTGTGAGCAGTCACTTTTGTAGGCAACACTTTTTTTCTTTGTAGAAAAGAAATAAAAAACAAACAGCACCATTAAAGAATGCATGATCCCTGAATTCTAAACAAAACACTGTCTAAAAATTGTTTAAATGCTTCTTGCACTCAGTCACATTTAGTCAGGTATCAAAGCAAGCATAACAGTATTAAATTGTAGCAGTCTTACTGAATCAACTGCTCCCCCTTCTGAGGATTTTACACACCTTTTCTGAGTTTTTCCTGTGGGAATAATATATTCTTTGGTAGAGGACTGAAGGAGGGTTTTACTTTTCTGTATGCTGATATAAAATGTCTGTATGTTCAGGGCCTTCGCCCCCAATCTGTGTTTGTCATGCATGTTATGTTTGGGTTGATTTCACATTTTGCTGTTACACTGTAGGAGTAATACCGCCTTTTTTTTTTTTTTTTAAAGGCATTAAATGGCTAATGTCAAACAGATGTAAACATTCAGAATACTGACCCCCCCCCAAAAAAAATACACACACACATTAAAAAAAAAAAAAAACTGTACTGAAAATATGAATCAGATTAGGTTTCCAGGAAGCAGGGGGAAAAATACAGCAGTACAAGAAAATTATGGCAACCAAGTAAAGCACTTTCTTTGAAACATTCATGAACAGTACAAATACAACAAAGTTTTTCTACAGTCTAAATTATTCTGCAACTATCAAATATAGTACAAAGCGAAATAGTATGTGCTATAAAAAAGCAGCTCCTTTAAATTATAGTAAAAATGCTTTTTGTTTGCTTTACAGTGACAAAGCATGAGGACTGAAGACAAGATTTTTATATTCAGTGACATTTTGGCTACATAGGCCCCTGACAGTCTGACGAGTTCCTTTTCTAGGACTCTTCACATTGTTCTCTAGAAACACAGAAAGACAGTGACTCTGGGCTCTGCACGCTCAGCGGGCTCATTCCCACCAGGCAGCTAGTGTGGTGCTGGCCTCCACACCAGAGAGACGCTGCAACCCTAAGCTTGGCTTCAGCTTCTGTGACCTGGAGGCTCACCAGACCAAGGAGGAACTGGGAACCCAAGGCCACAGTAACTTCTTCTCTTGAAATTGTGCGAGTGTTTAAAGTGGGGCTGCAACATCATGTATTCTTACTCTTGGCTGCATTATGAAGCACCATATGCACCAGCCTGTTGGGGTCTGTAGGTTTATTCTGAACGACTAAGAACATCCAAGGTCTAGAAGTCACCTAAACCTGCTAGATCGCTCATCCCAGAAACACATACCACCATAAAGTCTTTATAGCAACCGGGCTCAACCTCATAGGTTTGTTTTCAAGTTTTTCCTTCAAACTAGACCTTAGCAGAGAAATATTATATAGAACTATGGTGCTCAGTTCACCAACATTTCTGCTCTTCTCACTATGGGGAAGGGAAACTATTTTCATTTTGGAAATGAATTTGCATCAGAACGTTCTTATTAACATGCCCATTAACTACTTAAATGTCTTTACACACTTCAGGCATATGCATATCATAGAGGAGGGGGATGGGGGAATAGCAGTTTTCTTCCTTCCCCTGCTCCAAAAGTGCTACTTAGGGAAATACATCCTTTGTGATAAAAAAAAAAAAAAAAATTACATGTTACATGTGCAAGTTCTATTCCTGATAGGGATTATCATAGTGCCCAATAATCAGGATAATGCACACACTAACATTTGCACATTACACCACAATAACCATGTAGTAAATAACATACTACATTTGCACATGGGCAGATACCTGTGGAAATCAGGAAACTAAGAACCTACTTACCTAATCCAAATATACTGGCTTTCATATATATGTTAAGGGGACATTTGTAAAACATCTGACCCATATTTTACTTCTGAATTTTTCATTCCATTATTTTTTAGCCCAAAGATATTAAATTTTCACTAATATAAACCATATGCAGACACCAGGAATTTGAACGGGGGCAAAAAAGAGGGCACAGAAAAATTACCCTCTTTGGACCTGGGTGACAGAATCCATGCACGATCAACAATCAGTTCTCCAAAATTATGTGAAAAATCACCTAGTTTGTGAAAAATCAAAACATATGGAAGGACACTTTTTCGTTATTCCCAGTAAGTATTCCACAAGGATGGAACTGATAATGAGCTCAGTATCACTTCAGTCTCAATTGTACCTCACATACAGAGTACAAAGCTTGGTAGACCAGCGTTTCTTCAACACCCCGTGCCAGTTACTGATGTAGTAATTTTGAATCTGCTGGTGTGGACAGTACCTGACACTGGTCGAGGGGCAAGTGGATTTGGAGGGAGTTGGCATCTAAGTGTCTACAGCGTAGGGGTTCCCCTCTGTGAGACTAGAGCATGCTCTTCTGAACCAAGATGGTATTGCAGCCAAGCAGACCACAGAGAGGATGCCGCCCCAACACAACCTGGTGCAGAATGAGCTGGGACTTCCGCTGCATTCCTTGGGAGGGGCTGGTGAAGCGTACTGCTAACTTTCTCAGTCACTAACTTTGTTAATTTCAACGTGACCATGAACAACAGAAGCGACCTTACCCAAGCACCGAATCTCAGCCACAGAGGCAGACCCCTCTCTGCTTTTAAGTATCTTTCACTATTAGCAATGTATTAATAAAAGTGACGTTTGTAACACCTAATAAAATTTGGCAACATCACAATAATAAATATGGAGGAAAAAAAGAAACATATACTGTGGTTGATTATTATAAAAAAAAAAAAAATCACAAGGTGTTTTTTTTTTTTTTTCCTTTTCTCTCCAGGAATGTAATCTCTGCTCACTCCAGTTAATTTTTAAGACATCTTTTAAGGGAATGTCAAAAGTTTACATTGATGTGAGAATGTCTGTCATTCTTACCCTGGATACAGATGATTTCTGCGCCCCCCCCCCCCATGTTTTGCTTCTTTTTTTAATTCTGCAGCCACAATCAATCAATGGGTTAATGGCACTCCAATTTTGTGCTCTGTAATCTGAAGTTAAATGGGCGTGGTTTCTGTTGTCTTTCATCTTCCCACAGTGTGCATGTGCTTTTTGAACTTGCTTTAGGGAACAGAGCCTCCTGAACTACAGCTGTTCTCTGGCATGAGGGTGGCCAAAGTATGTGGAATGTAGCTCAAATACTCAACACTCAGACTTTACTGGATAAACACTGACGATATCTGTAAGATGCAGTATCCCATTTTCAAAAGCAGTTCCACTCCCCCAAATATGGAGAATGTACTGAATTCTACCTGAGGGGGGCAGGGGGGAAACCAAAACATGCAATACCTAGAATGATTTTTAAAATAAGGGCTATTTCAGAGTCAAATATAATGAATTATATGGATTGCGAATCATGAGGGAAAAAACCGTTCAGAAATAGATCAACATGTCAGCCCTCTGTAGTTCCTTTTTATCATCAGTGACGCTTTAAAAGAGAGGGAGCCAACCTCTGCAGAGTCAGAAGCCAGCATGTACTGCTGTCATCAAAAAAGGGTACAATTATTCCCCCCCAATTTTAGCATCTAGTAGTTGTATTAGAGTGAATAGAATGGACCAATATTTACATTATCAACCCACTTCTATGTGTTTGCATACACAGCATTTTATGTGCTGATTTCTTAAATTTTAGGGCATTTTTTTTCATACTTGCTCTTAAAAGCTACACATGATGCTCTGCAATCCTAAGGGCCTCTGGGTCTCTGGGCCTCTGTTGGTCAACTGACCTTACAGTATCAGGTGTCCAAGGGCTGGAACCAGATTCCTGGGCTTGAGGCCCACACGGCAATTTCAGGTATCAGACACATTTCACTACAATGTGTGCACAATGTCCGAGGCAGATCCAGACATTCTACCAGTCTCTGAAAAGAGTAAACAGGGAGGGAAGAGAATAAGGACAGTGGAGTGCATTACCAGCATACCTCCTTTAATGTATCTTTCAGGATATGAGCAAATACAAGGAATCATACATTTAAATCAGATTCCCCTTTCCAAACATGATTTAATCACTGTGGTAAAGGTAGGTCCAGAAGAGTCAACTACGAAAACCCTTGTTGAAATGGTTAATCTACAGAAGAATGAAAAACCAACTACCTTACATCACTTTCACCATTCTCTTTCTACATTTGCATCTCTGGTTAGCATTAAGTAATTAAAAATGTCCTTTTCCTATCTACAGCTGGATTAAAAAAAAAACAAAAAACAAAACAAAAAACCGAAACGAATGGGGCAGTGACCTGTGTACACTTGGACAGAAATTTTCCAAAGCCGGGGATGGTAACTTAGTATGCAAAAGACATGCCGCTGAGCCACTCGGTTGGGATGCGATCTCCCCTTTCTGGGAAACGCAAGTAAAGCATCCGAGAGAGAAAAGATAAGCTGTTCCAAAGTAAAATAAATTATCACGATATACGCCACTGAGTTACTCAATGTGTTGCTGCTGACGCCGTTTGGCTTTTCCGTGTTGAAAAGGGATACTGCATCTTGCCTTAGAGCTCTTTACCGCACAACCAGGCAAGCTACACAGAGTTTGGAGGGACCTATGCAGTCATCGTGGCAGAAGGCCCCACAGCCTTTGCACACAATCATGGCTTTCAGCCGGCAAGAGCATTTCAGTTCCAATTCATCCGCGTTGCTGCTGTCGGCGAAGTTCTGAACGGGCATCTGAGCGTTCTGACCAGGCAGGCCCGTGGCGGGACTGGAGCCGCTTCCCAAAATCCCAATGGACTTTTCAATTGCAGATGCTGCCCTTTTGAAGCTCGTGCTACCAAAGTGTATTGTTGGATAACTTCCACAGAGCTGCTGTTGTTGCTGCACCTGCATTTTCTGAGCAGCTAATTGGGTAAAAGGCTTTTGTGGCTCAGAAAGCAAATAGGAAGAGAAATCTGCATTTTTTAGCGCAAATGCTTTTAACTGTTCTTTCATTTCATTCTGGTCATAGGAAACTTGTTTCATGCCCAGTTCACAGCTGCTGCTTAAACCTTCCTCAAAAGAAAGAGGTTCCGATTTTATATTGCTACATATGCCCGTGGACTGTGGCCAACTAAGTCTCTTAGTGGTTTCCATGGTAACCGGTGGTTGCTTTTGATCGGGTGGGACTTCTGCATTAGGGAGAGGTGG